TTTCCATCGTCTTTAGAAGAAGCAATGCTAGGCTTATTGATCTGAAGGATTTGACGTCTGTCTCATCCTTCTTGCTTGCCTTTGGAATGAAAGTGACTCTTGCCCTTATCGATATTTTTGGGTATATATCCCATCGCCATACTTGTTCTGGTTATATCTACAAGGTGCGGCATGATCTCTGTTTTTCCTCTTTGTAGGAGTGCTGGAAAGATCTCGTCCACTCTTGGGGTTCCCATCACTTACCAGTCGAAGGTTTGAATTCTTCTAAATCCAGAACTAGACCCAGAGTGCCAGTCTCGCCTCAATATCTATTGGGAAGATGGCTGACATTATAGGGTTCTAAATATACTTTCAAGTTCAAAACGTAGTATAATCGGGTATCAAAGGGAGGCTTACATTTTAATCTCATACTTTACTAGCTTTTTGGGAATATACTGCTTGAGCTAGTCTTCCAGAATTCAACTTTTGATTTTTTTTATCCAGTCATTTCTGTCTCTAAATATAGGCTTATGCCAATTCTCACTAGCGAACTCTATTTTGAGCCCCTTATCTACATCAGTGTAATCTTACAGTCAGTATGAGATCGTCAAGCAATCTTTTAAGAGGAAAGTTTTGCGTTAGTTTCATGAACACGCGCGGGTACATTACACAGCCTTACTAATTAATTGCGACTGAATCAAGTCGCTTTGCATATTTTAACTCACAACTCACTTAATAAGTACAGAAATCCGCTGCAGAGCGCTTAGACATTGAACAGTGTCTTCTCTATGCTTCTCCATGTCGATTTTACATTCTATATAATCATCACCTTTGAGTCAGATGATGTCGATTTGCTCACTCTCCTACGAAACAACCAACTCCTTTGTACCACTTCTGAGAAATATTCCCTTTGTGTAGTATACTGCTATTTACTAGTTTCTCATTCATGGGCTTCATTGCCTGCAATGTCGTCAAAAACACATCATGGTCGTAATCACGTTCCATGGATTGCTGCAGCATTTCCCAGAAACAGCGGAACATGCCATCACTTTTTTCTTATGCCTGTAGAAAGCAAGCTAGCGGTTGCTCTCGTTCTTCACAAAGGATATTTGAAGTTCTGCCACGCTTTTTCGCTGATTGAAAAGTTTAGAAAGAAAAAAAAAATAAAAATAAAAATAAAAATAAAAAAAAGTATATAAAATAAAAAATAAATAAAATTCGAATGAAATTGATGATACTTGAGATTGCAGGACTGAAGGTTTAAGTGCGTGCAAATTATGCCCTAGCTCAGAATTAAACAATTCGGAGAGTAGGGGTGGGTTTTAGTTTTGGGCGCCACCGACTCTGGACAGATGAGTCGGACTCTCTAGGATGTTGTCTGGCTCCAGGTTCTTACAATTCAAATAATAATAAAGAAAATGAAAAAATATTTAAGAAAAGCTAAAACTAAGCTTTATGCATAAAATCAAATAAAAGTCAATGAATCAAGTGCTATTGTAAGTTTATTTACCAAATGGACACAGTCCACAATGAAACAATATGGGTATTGATAATGAAAAAAAAAAAAATAATAATAATAATAATAATAGTAATAATCAAGTAAATTAGCAATATTACCAAAGAGTGGAATACTATCCACTATTTAAGAAAAAATACAATCACTGAACTGTCATTAATTTAATTAGTAATGACCTTGTAATGAAGTGTCAACTAACAAATACAGAAATGCTATACTATTGAAATAATTGCTAAAGTCATAAACAATTGAATTTAAATGTGAAAATGTTATTGAAACTCAATAACCAAATGAGTAAGAAAAAAAAAAATTAAAAATTGAAAAGTTGTAAATATAAAGTGAAGAGAAATAAGAAAAAAAATTAAATGAATAATGAATAATTAGTTGTCGGAGCGGTTACCTTTCACTGTTGTAACCAGAACTACAAGCGAGTTGGCATAAATAAGCAACCACCTGAATGTCTAGCTAAATTACCCAGGTTATGTCTAGCTAAATTACCCTGAATAATAACTGTCGTTTTGTTGCACTTGTCACCTTGGTGCAAGTACTGAATGACTCCCTGAAATACCGTAGTGATAACTGTGGCGTACAAAATAGGGACAAAAAGGTAAATTACCAATAAAATAACGATAGTATAACTAGAACTAGTACGATACCAAAATGTTCCAGGCGGTAGCAGTAGGTACAATTAACCAGATTAGTCCTGGCTACTGGTTGTGGTTAAGATGGTCCAACCAATCTTAAGGTTCAGAATTTACAGTCCAGAAGGCTTGTGTAACCGTCCAACTACTTAGGCTGGTGTTTGATAGCCTTATAGTTCAATCTCGGTTACGATTGAAGGTGTATTGTTGTGTAACAATGTAACCGTGAGAAAAAAAAAACTCGGTGATAAAAACCCTAAAGGAACCATATCTATAGCGAAGCACTTTATGAATAGACAGAACTAGAAAATGAAATTAAGATGTAACTTAATTAGTCTCAAACAGCAAATTTACTTGATAAAAAAAAAACTATAGCTCTTGAAAATGATATTAATAGAAAAATTGAATAATAATGTATAATAATAATTAATTAAATTAGAAGAATTCAGATAAAGCTTTAATAGTAATTGAAGAAAATGTGCCTCGAGTTTGCATAAAAAAATTTGAGGTTATTACCTGTTGGAAATAGGGTTTGTTTGCCTCGAAAATACTCTGGAAATCTGTATCTAGGTCTATTCGAAATCCTTGAGTGAGTGAGCTGTTCTTCACTCTTTAGAGCAGCTTTTCACTAATGATTAAATGGAAAAAGTCAGAATCTACTTTGGAAAAAAAAACGTGCAAAGCAAGACTTACCGAAATGGTTGTTTTCAAATCCGATAACATCGGCGAAAATTATAGCACTTTACGAAAATTAAACACAACGCAAGAAAACTCAGTGTGCCATAAATTCAATTAAGAAGAAAATTAGGTCCTAAATTCCTTTTTAGGGCGAAGAAAAATATTAAATTCTTCAGGAGAACCTTTCTTCAAAGCAACCATAACGTGAAAAAAAAATGTGGTACACATCAAATTAATTAGCTGACCTAAAGATAGAGATTCAGAGATGATTCAGAATAACGACAAATGTCAAAAATTAATCGATAGAATTCTTACTTACCAAAACTTGCACACAACAATATAATCAGAAAAAAATTACAACGGCTGACGAATATTGATAATAACAACAAGAAATTATCCAATAGAACAATTTTAACTTGAAGAATACGACATAGAGTAAGTGATCCGTTTGCAAAATTAAAGGGCTTAACAGGAATTGTCGATACCAAAAACATTACTAATCTACAGCCAGTTGACAAAAATTAATGACACTTCAAAAGTCAAAAAATAGAAAGCAAGGATAGCGCAGAACACAGATCAAAGATTATGGAACCAATGTTTGAACCGGGTACAACTAGAACTTGTACTGAGTTCAATAGCCGAACCGAGTAGTTTGGTACATACACTTCGAAAACGGGTCAAACGGTTGGCAGGCATTTTCCTTAGTTAACTTCTTTTTCTGATCTTGCTTGCTTGCCTCAGGCGAACCCTGTAGTGCTGAATAACATCGCAGATGATACTTGGTTTCCAGAGATAGGTATTATATCTTTGTTTTCATGCTGCCAGAGTTTCTACAAGTCCTTTCTGATTCCTATCATGATCGTATCAGGCCAACAGGCCAATTATTCAATTGATTTCTTTTCGGCAGAGTCGTTCAAATTTGCAGGTACTGCCTCCTAAGGTTTTTTTTTGCTTTCTATCCCTATCCAACTATAATTTGCTAAACTTTCATTTCGAACCCAAATTTAAGTTCCACTGGCAAGAGTTTCAAGGACTTCAACCTTCTGAACTCATTGACATTGCTGAAGAAGGACTTGTATTATCTGGATCCTTTACTCATTTCTCATATCAACGACTGGTTCCAATCCATCCTTAATCTGGGACAAAATAGACCTGGAAGAAGCCATTAGTTTTGCAATGGAATTCAACTCTTAAAAGCATTGTTATCAGTGCACACAGCTGACGGGTGAATTTTATCACCAACATCAGATAAATGAACAAAATTAATTCTTTTTAAAACGGTCTGCAAATTTTCACACCCTGTGCCCAGAAACTCTTTATTCGCACATATAAGTGCTTCAGAAGCATAAACATTCATCATATTACATATGTAGGAAGGCGGGTTTTCAATTAATAGTTTGAAGTTGTATGCCTAACTAAGACCATTTTTTTATAATTATATTGAATCTCAACTAATGCAGTAATTTGATGAATTATTCAATTTTCTTATGTTCGAACCTAAATGTCCAAATTTAAATTAATTATTTTTTACATTCCAACCACTAAAATTTTCTCATAAATTCGCCTAAGCTGACATTAATGAATTATTGTTATTAAGATAAGTAGCTAAAGCTATTACTGTAAACTTTGCTATTACTCAACAGTTATCAATGAAGGTGTATATGGCTTATTTGATAAGGCATTGTGCCGTAGCCAACAAGCCGGTGTAAACAAGAATAATATCCATTGTAAATAGACATGTCTTTAATGTCGGTCATAATTTGTTATTATGGGAACAGGAACGTCTATAGAAATTATGGTGAGAACCATCTTTAGTAGAATGACATAGGAAAATGTAATTTTTAGGAAAGACAAATAGGCGGAAGCAATTATTTTGTTTTAAATTATGACTATTAAGTAGCTAATGAAACGCCACAATGAAAGAATAATTTAAGAAAGTTAAATTATAAACAAGCTATTTTGATACCTATTAAATTATTTTGTTTTTGAAGAGGCTAATGAATTTTACTTTACTAAAACTTTCCATTAATCAGATAACGATTAAATACTGGATATGAAACTAAAAAATCCTAGTTGATATCCATAAATAACTGATCGCCTTGTTTTACTCAAACAAATTCAGTCAGTAAGGTTTAATGGATTTGATGAGTTTTTATTTTATCTAATTATTTTCCTTTTTTTTTCAGATGGTTCTACTCTGAAAGACCTGAAATGTAACGGTTTGAGAGGTTCAGAAATCACCCTGTACGGAGACTCGCCCTGTCTACAAATAGAAAATGCAGACAAAATGCAACCCAGAACCAAAGTCAAGACCAATGGTCATTTTACAAATTTCATGAAAGTAAGTTTTCGTTTTGGTTTAATTTTTAAAAAAAATATTATCAAGCACTTTAATTTGCGAAATTACGCCGACATATTTTAGTATGACACCATATTTATTTTTCGGCAAAAATGTAGGTAAATATTTAAGTTTATTCCCACGATAAAAACGGTCTATCACAGATGTTTTATTGTGACATCATTGAAATCTTTTGGAGTAGAAAACTATTATAAGTTTGTACTGACAAAGTGGAACAGTGAGAAAAGTGTCTGTGCGAATTGGAAAGTAGGCATATACTTTTGTGTTCACGTTTCCATAGAAATTGGTAGGTACTTGAATTGCTAGGCATATGGAGTTTTAATTTGTGTTTGCTAAACCTCTATACTAGAAGAAAAGCACTGCTTAGCTTGCTTTGAGCAAAGTACTGTGTTAGTCATCTGAAGTCAAAAAAATTGCAAGATCATCATTGATTCTGATCCACCTATCTGTATGAATGTTTTCACCAGTCGCTTTTGTTTCTGTCAACATTGACCTACGTTTGGTTTGTTTCTGGAACTGTGTTCTGGTTCTTTGCCAATTTTCTTTATCTTCTCCGGTGATCATAGCAACATTTCAAAAACCATATAACATATAGTTCACATTCTTTGTAAATTTGTTTGCCTTCTACTTCCAAACTTATATTATCTAAGGTATCTCACGCAATATTCAGATTGTGAATCATCTTCATTCTCACTCATTTAATTGAAGACGTCTCAAATTATTCATCCTCAAACGACTAACAGCAACGGTTTCCTATCCATCTTCACAGAATTTACAGAGGTACCTACCATTTTTGTTTAATTCCAATTTCCGTAGATGATCCTAACGTCTGCAGTGGCCCGAGAAACATCCGGTTAGAGTTGTGATACTTTTCTTGCTAAGGTTGTAGTTTCTATCTTTTGCGGGCGGAACAATTCATAAAACTGGTAGAAGTCAAAACCGAACCTCACCTTGTCAATAGAAGGAGGAGTCACCTATAGCGAGCGAGGAATAAAGTAGAGTACCTTTTTGCAACACCGATAAAAATGCTGGCTACTGATCAGGTTTCTGGGCTGAAACATTAAACGTTGACAAAGAAATTCAACTAGCATGAATACTCAAGGGGAGATAGGACCATCTACTCTGATTATTTTCCACTCAAGGCATTAACCTCTATAGGCTAGCATCAGCACGTAGATTGATGGATACCTTCCCCGAGGGGAATTCGAATCTAATGCCACAGGGTAGCTAAAGCTGGGCTTCACATATCGAAGTAAGGATGGTTTCTGCGTTTTTTCTTACTTCTTCGAGCCAATTGTTTAGCAGACAAGTGCTTCTCCGAGTGTTTCTCCTCCAACTTTTAACATCTCATCAGTCGTTTTAACGCTGCCTTCGGTTTGCTCTTATTGGTGGGTTCTCCTCCTTATGAACCTACGTTCAGTATTAAGTCTCGCAATTCATCTAACTGTCTTGTATACGTCACTGATTTATCATCCAGTGTTCGTTTTATTAATTTACTGCCTTCTTAGCTTTCGCTGTCAATACTTTTTGGTCATTCCTCTGACCAACTTACTTCTTGATTGACTTGATCTAAAAACTCATGTTTCTGATCGCTTCTTGAATTAGTTCTGTGTTTTACCTGGAAACTCAAATTTTGTAATAGCTCTAGTAATGAGTTTTTTAAATCCAATAACCTCAAATTATTCTTATTTTTTTAAACTTTTGGCAGATTTTTTGTTTTTTTATTGATAGATGCATGGACATTTTTGAGAAAGATACGGACTTCTAGCTAAATGGAATTTTTCTTAAAGAGTACCCATCAAACATGAAAGTACCTTTATGTATTGAAAGAAATTCCTTATTATGGAATTTATAATACATTTTTCATTACATTACATTAAATAAATTAAAGGTAAAACTGGTCTCCACAAACCCAAGTTAAGTTAACAGTGTTTTATTTCTTTCAAATATATTGGTATGGCACTAAAAATATGTCCTGGGTAATGCACACAAAAAGTTACCTACAAGTACCGATTAACCTCTATATGGGACTGTCTTTTGTATCCGAATTCATTTAATACAAAAATTCGAAACATTTAAAGAGAGCGCATTTCATGCAACAGAATCGACTGCCTTGCAAATTAAATTGTACCGCTTCAATGTCAATAAAAACACGCCGGACCATTTGGGAGGTGATAATTATAAAATTACCTACTCATAAAAACTCAATGGCTTTATATTGTTATGGACAAATTATGTGCTAAATAGCCAATTATAAATTTAAGAGAAAGGAACGTTCCATGGAATACATCTCATGATTATAAGTCCGAAAGCAAACTGTTGCTTCTTAAAACGTATAACGACATCAATCAATTTCATATGATAAGATTTTTGGAAATAAATTTTCAAAAAATCAAAGAATTCTTGACAGTTTATCGACTCAAAAAAAAATTGTGGGAAAAAATCTTTGAAAAAAGACTTAAGTGTTTAACCAAAGTTCCAACACACTGCTCATACGATAAGTTTGTATTGCTTTGATACGGTCAGATTTACGCAATACATGTAGCTTTGCTTTATAAGACAATCGAGAAACCCAAATTCTCAATCATTGAGTACTAGCTCTAATTGCAGAGCGTTTTCGAGCATGTTAGCTCTCGTCAGTGCAACATAAGCGAAAGCACGCCAACTTAGAGAAACAAGTTTAACAGCGGATTTTACTTTGTGAGACTTCAGAGAGATGGAGACACCCGACATGTTATTATGGGTTTCTTCTTAGCGTCTGTATGTTTATTGCATTGATGGTGGAAAATTGGAAAAGTACAAATGAACATGTGTGTAATCAGTCATCTGTCATCTGCTTGCTAGGGTCCCTAGATTAATTGACAGACTGTCAATCGAACGCTGCCAACCGTGAAGTCTGGCCAACGGTAGGAATTGGAAATCTTGTGGAGACAGTTACCACCTGAGAAAAAGGTCTTGGCAATGGTGTCTGCAGACTGATTTTTGTTCAGTTTTGTTGGAACTGCTTCTGGCCAACGTGAAAATCTGTCTATCTTGGTAACACAATATTGGTAGCCTTGTGAAGGTAGAAGAGGTCCAACAATAAGTGAACGTGCTCGAATCTTTGATCTGTTAAAGGAAAATTCATAGGTGATTATTCGTTGTGACGGTAAATCTTAGCCTTTTGACAGGAAATGCAAGTTTTACACCAGTGGGTAATATCCTCACGCATAGAAGTCCAGAATATTTTTTTTGCTACTTTCTGTATTGAAACATGGGCACTAGGATGGGGAAATTTATGAACCATATCGGAAACTCTTCTCCTTAAAGCTTTTGGAACATAGGGCCTGATTTTATCTGTTGAAGTGTCACAGATGATGGTTGAGTTTGTATCTAAAAAAAATTCTCGTAGTTTTAGACCTGTTTGTACATCACCTGATAGAAGTGACTGAAGATCTCTATCTTCTTTTTGTTGTTCGGCAATTTCCTCATTAGACACCGAAATTGGCATGTTAATAACATCTAGATGGGAAAGAGCAATAGCTGCAACATTCTGCTTTCCTGAGACGTACTGAATGTTGTTGCTGAACTGAGAGATAAAATCTAATTGAGGTATTTGGCGGGGCGATGCTTTATCTGGCTTCTAATTGAAGGCATGCGTGGGGTGTGGTCAGTTTGGATGGCACAAGTTCTACCTTCCAGCATGTAACGGAAACGCCTGATAAATTGGTAGACAGCGAGAAGTTCTCTGTTATACGTGGAGTATCCCCAGTATCCCCAGCTGTGGAAAGTTTGTAACCCCTTTTGTTAATGAATTAACCAGAGGCCCATAATATGCTCGGTTTGCTCAGCGAAAATATATTCGGTGTAGGTTGAATAGTTTAATCAGTACAGAATGGCAAGGGCGCTACTGAATTTTAAAAAAATTATAAAATATGGAAGTGTGAAAATTCAGAAACACACCTAGAAAATAATCAGTAAAGGGTGATAGGTAATTCTGAAGAAGAAAGAAATAATGCACACAACTCAACTCTCGACCTATGGGTAAACCAATAAAACGATAAAGTAAAATTTCAAATTAAAATAGTGTATATTTCACAGTCAGTAAACAATTTAGTATTGATTTATTCCAAAATATAAGATCAATTATTGTTGGTGAGACACCTCACACCAAATCAAAATAAAAGAGGTTAACTTTTAATCGGATTAGTTAAGCTCAGAAAAAAATTAATAATAGCATAATAACAAATTGAACCTCAATATACTTGCCTTATAAGTTCATCAACAGTAGCTAGTCATATCATCAATTTGAAAAGAAAATATAAAGATTTAAGTTTCCAGAAAACTAATTAAAAAAATTGAATGATTGAAAAATTCTATTGATAAATATGGTCAGCCTCTGCAACAAAATAAATTAAAAAAAAAAAAAACAATTTGTACCTGTAAAAAAAATCAAAAGTTGAGCTATATGTCAAATGGTCGACATGAAAGAAATCCTCTAATATATTAATATAAGTTGTAGGAGCTCGGGTTAAAAATTGATCAATTTTCGACGGCAGGCTATTATTCAAGAATTTAAATTCAGAACATGTTGTCCAACCTTGACCTTTGTTCAGATTACTTATTGATAAAAAATAAAATAAAATAGAAGCAATATTAGAAGTTATGCTAACATAGTAAAATCAATAAACTTAAAGCCAATTTTCCGCCATAGTGTTAAGAATAATATGTATGAAAGTCATTAAAAAAAAATTATCATAACTTTGATAATCAACTGTAAAACTGATTTTATGAAATAAAAGATATTAGGTAAGAGTTATTAATGAAACTTTATACAAGCCTCCATTCCAACATGAGGCGTAGCACGGTAGCCATCCATCTTTGGCCATTTGACGAACAAAAACTGCACCTGAAACTTGCGAATTCTAGCCCAGAATCCAAGCAGAAAAGGGACTACAATTGTCGTGGAATATGGGGCACACGTATCGACTTGTGGGGGTCTT